TGTAAGTGTTCTTGATGGTCTGCAAGAGAAGAACTATAAATCAATATATCATCAAAGAAAACTAAAATAAATTTTCTAAGAAATGGTATAAAAATGTCATTCATAGCTCCCTGAAAAGTGGCTGGTGCATTAGTCAAGCCAAAAGGCATGACCAGCCACTCAGTGTCCAAAATGGGTTTTGAAAGCTGTCTTATGAGTATCCTCTGGTTCCATACGAATTTGGTGGTAGCTAGCCCTAAGGTCTAGCTTAGTTAACCACCTAGCTGCACTCAATTCATCAAAAAGATCCTCTACTAAAGGAATGGGGTACTGATTTTTGACAGTATATTTATTAAGCTCTCTATAGTCCACGCACATCCTCCATGTCCCATCTTTTTACTTTACTAATACTATAGGAGCTAAAAAGGGTGAGCAACTATCCTGAATTACCCACTCTAATAATTCATTTACAATCTTTTCAATAACATCTTTTTGTGCTGTTGGGTATATATAAGGTTTCAAACTAATAGGATTTGTCCCCTTTTTGAGAACAATAGGATGGTTATGGCCCTCTCTTAAAGGAGGTAATCCCTTAGGATCCCCAAAAACTTCATGAAAATCATCCAGGACCCCTTGAATTTCAGTAGGAATACTGTTGTCCTCATGTGAAACAGCAAGGCATTGGACTTCCGTTCCCTTTCTGGTGACCAATTGTAGGAGGAAGAGCTGTTCTTCCTTCAAATGAGCAGTTTCAATCTTTGCTAGTTGCACCATTTGACAGGTGTTTGGAATGTTAGCCTGTAATTTCTGCAGCTTCCCTTCATACCAGAAAAACGTAGTGAGAGTTTCATAATCCTAGAAAGCATTTTTAATACTTTTAAGCCATTTTAAACGAATAACTAAATCATAAGTTTTAAGATCTAAAATTCTGAAATAAAAAACAAATTCTAGGCCCTACATTTTCCAACGAAGTCCTTCCCAAAGTCCATGAACTTTGAGCCATCTGCTACTGATACAAAGGATGTGTCTTTTGTATCAGTTTCCCATCCCAGCTTCTTGGCAAGCCCAAGGTCCATGAAATCATGTGTGCTGCCACTATCAACAAGGATTTGAATGGCACGCTTTTTAATAGTCCCTTGGACCCTCATGGCATCTGCACTGTTGGTCCCTTCAATAGCATGTAAGGATATGCGTGGACTGATCTCTGCGTCATCCCCCTCTATGGCTTCCAAATCTTCTTCAGCATTGTCCTCGTGTTCCAAAAGAACAAAATGAAGTTGCATTTTCTGACGTTGTGGGCATTTGTGATCTCTGGAAAATTTTTCATGGCAGAAGAAACAGAGATTCTTGGCCCTGTGGTCAGCTTCCTCGTCTGCAGATAAGGTTTTAAACAGCTTTAGTGTTCTTTTTAAAGATGTAGAAGAGTTTCTGAAAGATGAAGAAAACTTATCCTTAGGGTGGGACCCATTGCTCAAGGAAGTGTTTTTCGGTTGAGTCAATGTATTTGGAGTAGAAGACGCCACCTGGTTTGCAATAGACACGTGGGATACAGACTTGAGGGACGCGTTCTTACTGGTTTGCTTCAATATGGCTATTTCTTGAATCCTCGCAAGCCTCCGAGCCTCACGCAATGTTCTCGGGTTGAACATCTGAACCGAGACTTCAATGTCTGGTTTGAGAGCCGAGACATAGGCATCCACAAGGTAGTCTTCTGAGAGATCGAGCTTTGCTGTGATTGAGTCAAACTCGGCGTTCAAGTCTGCCAGGGAGCCCGTTTGATGCAGATGAGTGAACTCGGCCATGGGAGTGTCGAGCAAGGGGCCGAATGTGTCTCGGAGCAGGTCGACATATTCCTCCCATCCCATCGGTCGTCCCCTAGGCTGTTTTTTGACCCCCAGATGCCACTTGAAGGTCTTATTGTCCAAATGCAATGACGCGACCTTCACCTTCGACGCCTTTGAGTCTCATCAAATTCAAAGAATCGCTCACAGCACGCAATCCATGCAAGAACGTCGGTACCGTTGAATCTTGGAAAGTCCATTTTCGTCAGCTGGGTCGGTCGTTGATACCCATTCTTGTTTCCTCGTCGATCTTGATCAGGGCGTCGCTCGTGGTCATGGTTCTGGGCAATGATAGCACATTCACGAAAATCTCAAACAAGGTTCTGTAATTGAGTATTGAAGCCCAAGACTGGTTCTTGGAGTTCATCGATGGTGCCTAGGCGTTGTTCGATCAAAGCCAAGCGTTCTTCCATTATTCTCGCCTGGCCACGGGTAAGTACCGTACACCGAGGATGATTTTAGAAAATAGTGTGAGGAAAGATGGGCTCTGAATACCATTGATAGGATAGAAATAGAAAAGAGAGATAGAAGAGGGTTCAGGGAAGGAGAAAAATGGAGAAAGATAGGAATTAGGAGGAGAGAATCAGAGGAGGGGTGATCCAAGAGAGAAAAATAGAGAGCATACTGAATAGTGTGCTGTATATTCATGAAATTAATACTGTACAATGGGTACCCTGGTCATGTCTATTTATAGGCCTAATTGCAAAACTAATCCTACTTAAATAACTCTCCTAACAGTTAGTGACCGTTGCTCCTACTACTATTTAAAAATAATTACAATAATACATCATCCTGTGTTTTTACCAACATGTTCATTAAGATCATTGCCAATAAAAATCTTTTCCATGGTTGGTAATCACATATCCGTCCAAAATTTCTCCTTAAGATGGTCTTCCGCTCCTACTTGAGGTGCATAAGCACTAATCACATTGATAGTATCCCTCCCCACCATTATTCTTAAAGAAATGATTCTGTCTTCTATCCTTTTGACTCCCACCACATTCTGTTTCCATTCATTATCAATGATAATACCAGCTCCATTCCTTGTGCCTACCTTTTCCGTATACCAAAGTTTAAATCCATTAGTAAATTCGAAGGTCTTCTCTCTAGCGTATTTAGTTTCTTGTAGGTACAAAATATTAATCTTCCTTTTTACTTCCACCACCTCTCTTGATTTACCATACAGTGTCCCAACGTTCCAAGTGCTAAACTTGATTTTGTTTTCATGAACTAACTTCTTTAGCCGTCTTTGTCCATAAGAGTGTAGTAGCCCTTGCTCATTTAACACTATATTCGGGTCACAATGCAGCGGCTTTTGTTCATTTCTCACTGTACTCGAACCATACAGTACGTCACTTCTGGGCAACGATCTAGCAGTAACACAATTTCTTCGTTGATCCATGTCATAAAAGATTCGACAGAGTTTTACGTTGGCTGTCGAGTGCCTAACACAACCCTCCTCTTTTACCCGGGCTTGGGATTGGCTATGCAACATAGGCAGAGTTTAAATTAAAAATTACAGTCAAATAAAGAAAATAGGATTTTAAAAAGATTAGTAGTATTATGATTAACAATAAATTTGGATTAGAATTAGAACACTTGAAGGAGATGTTGAAAACATTACAGCAGCATGAGCTGGTTATTAGTCCTGGCAAATGTAGCTTCGGGCAGAGCAAATTGGAATACCTTGGCCACATAAGTTCAGCTCAAGGTGTGCAGGCTGATTCAGCCAAGATTAAAGCCATGGTTAGGTGGCCAACACCCACAGGTGCTAAGAGTTTGAGAGGGTTCATAGGCCTTACCCTGTTTTTATGGCAGAATTGTGGCTCCCCTAGCTGAATTATTTAAGACAAATGCATTTCAGTGGAGTGACAAAGCTTAAACAGCCTTTGAAAAATTGAAGGCGGCTATGGTAACAGCCCTTGTTTTTAGCTATGCTGGATTTTCAACGTCCCTTTAAACTTGAAGTTGATGCTCGTGGCACTGAAGTGGGAGCTGTGTTAGCTCGAAAAGGAAACCCATAGCATATTTTAGCCAGCAACTTTCAGAGATAAATAAGAGGGGCTTGGTTTATGAGAAAGAATTAATTGCCATTGTTCTTGCTGTGAAGAAATGGCAACACTACTTGGCTGCAAAACCTTCTATCACCAAAATTGATCAAAAAGCTCTCAAGCATCTTCTAGAACAATGCATCATTTCTCCAGATCAAAAGGGAGGGGTGTCTAAACTGAATGATTACAAATTCGATATTCAGTACAAGCTGGGAAGATAAAATCATGCTACTGATGCTTTATTAGGGAGGGACAGCCATGAGATATCCTTATGGCTATGGTTGGCAACACGAAGTGGTCCTCACAAGTCACCATGTATGTTTCTGAAGGGTTTGGTAGATGTATAAGTGGCCCTAGGATAGGGGGATTGATGTTCTCTTGCAAGTTCACACACCTTATACTGAATGGTACAAATGTTGTAGTTAGGCCTGAAGTTTGGGAGCAACGATTGAAGGTAGTGGAAGTTATGGTGGTCTATGCTCTTATGCCATAACATAAAATCATTAAGTTTCGAGGCAGATGCATAATGACTTATTGTAGGCGAGAGTGAATTTCTCACTCGGTTGACCTCAAAATAGTATAGCCCCTTATACTCGTTAGCACTTCCAGCTGTCACACCAGAGGATAGGTCCTAAAAAACACAATGACATTGGAGGAATTTAGTGAAACAATTTGATTGCTTGGTTAATTGAGAAATTGAAATGAGACTGCTATCAAGTTTAGGCACATGAAGGGCAAATTCTAAAACTACAGAATCTAAAACACTGATACTCCCTTTGCCAGTAACCGACGCGAAGATAAGAGAATAAAAGCTCATTAAGCCTCATAGACACTAAAAACGTTTAATAACAACTAATGAATGCTAAGATAATAGCTATAGAAGAGATGATAAATATTCCTACAAGTACGAAGGTAATCAACAATATCTTTATTTCATCATATAGCCTCTTGTGGTTCACATCCTAACATTTCTTCTTTTTTTAGGTAATTTAAAATGCACAGCTGATTTTGTTTGAGAAACGTGGGTTCTTTTTTTATGTAAATCTTTTCTTAGTTTTCTGGCATTGAGGAGATCTGTTTACTTGGGATGATGACAGGGCTTCTTATGGTTATATCTTTGATGATGCAGTGCAGGAGTTGGTGTTCTTAATGCTGCAAGGAAAACAATGGCGAGGATGTTGGGTAATAATGAAGTAGCTTTTGAGAGTGCAAAGAGTCAATTCTGGGTTGTTGATGCTAAGGTATTGAATAGCACCTAGAAGATAGTCAGTTTGTGTGATCAAATTAATATATGATTGAAATGGCATTTGTTTATTTAATATTTTAGTGGGTACTTGTGTACCATTGGTGTTTGTCTTTCATGACCCTGTCTAGTGCTTTGGAACTTAGGGCGAGTGTTAGAAAAGAAAAAAGAGTATACATTTTAAAGGACTAGGATTCTATTATTATTAATAATCTTGGAGTTTGTTTTTGTTTTGATGTGGGCTGTGCTTGAAAGGCTTAATCTCAAGTGGCTCATACTTGAAGGATACTAAAAAAGCTTATGATCAAGTGGCAAGAGTGTTGCCATGGAAAGCCTTGAGAGGAGTTTGGCAACCCCTTACAATCACGTGAGCTGAGGGAAAACTCTTTACATACTTACCTTGTATACCATAAAATTACTTCTAAAAAGCTAATCTAAATACCCTTTCAGAGAAACAAAGGTGTTCACATTGCATAGATTAGAGCTATAGAGAACATTTATGAGGGGGTTACAACTAGCGTGACAACCCTTGGATGTGAGGCAAAGGGCTTCCTTATAAAAATTTTTCTCCGTAATGGATTATTTTTTAGTCCTTGTGGATCTGACTTGGTTTTGGACGTTTGATTGAGCTCATTCAAGAGGAAATCACCAAATACATGCTCATTGCAAATGACGTAATCTTAATTGCAGTGTCAAGAGATTAACTTTAATCCGAGTTATGAAGACTGAGTTTGAAATTGATGTGTTTCTGCCTGAGTAGGGTCAACATTTAATATATGCACTGTAAGTATAACAAGAGGTAAGTTAGAAATGATATGAAGATAAAAATTGGAGATAAGATCATACAATAATATGAAAGGAGAGTGAAATTGATGTGGATGTTATGGATAGGCTATAAGTGTGGTTGCTGAAATGGAGACAAGTGTTAGGAGTTATCTGTGATCATAGAGCACCTATGAAATTTGAAGGGGAATTTTATTGAACTGCTATAAGATCTAAGTTATTTTATGATCATGAAAGTTGGGTGTTGAAAAGATAAGATTCATAATGACTATCAGATAAAGTTGGTGTGGCGTCTATTAAGGTGAAAATGATACAAAATTGTTCATGATGGGTTGGACAAATGCAAAAAAGAGTGCCTGGCAAGGAGAGTGCCTTATGAAGATGCCAATGAAGAGGGTTTGGAAGATAGTTTTTAGCCTTATGAAGAAAGATAGAGGAAGCCTAAAAAAAGATGCATAAAATTATGAGGTAGTGGGTGAGAATCAGGGTTTAAAGAAGGCTTTGGTTTCTGGCGAGGAGACTCCCTGGTTTCTTAAACTCTAGGCTGTGGTAGGAGCTTTGTTTTTTGATATATATTATGATATGATATGCTTTGGACATGGATGGGAAAAGAATTTTTCATTCTATTTTCTCTCTCTTCATGTCACTGTTCATTATTTTTATCTTGTGTTACCTTTTACTGCTTTCATGGCTGTAATACACTGTTTCTTTTTGTAAGCTCACACCAATACACCATCTATCAGGGTAACAGTCTCATTTCTTGCGTTGGGGAAGGGGAGCTATTTATTAGTTATTATTAATTATTAATATACATGAGTTCCATCATTTTAAAACGTGGTTCCCAACCGTGTCTATTTCAGTAAGGGAACAAATAATGGTGCTGAGGTTTACCCATATGCAGATTAGGTTAGCTCAGTTACTAACAAGCAATCTTCCTCAGGTTATTGCATATTTGTGTGGGTAAATCTTGTAGTTTAAAGAAGTATAAAACAATATGTTGTGGCCAGGAGCAATGCTAAAGCAGTGTAGAGCCTTTCAACAAAGTTGGAGGAATCTGGTTGAAAAGACTTCTTGGACAATTCATAGTCACCATAGAGGGACCTATGAGAGTTCTCTGTGGCAATGTGGCCACCATTAGTATTGCAAAACATTTTGTGGATCTTGACGGGGCAAAGTGGATGGCATCTTAACTAAGGCTATATCAAGAATGAAATATGAAGACTTGACATCCATGCTGGTTTTGTTGAAAATATACAGTCTAGCTTGAGGGAGAGTGTTGAAATCCTGTGTTTATTCCCATTATGTCTTGTTTTTCTGTTTCTATTATTTCTCCATTTTTTTGGGGGGATTTATAGCGGTTGATTTTTTTTTTTTGGGGGGGGGGTGGGATTCGATGCCAAATACCTGTTTATGAGAGGAATCATCTATTTGAATAAAATAAGAATTCAGAATCTAACTAATATGAATTTTTGCCCACTTTATATTAAACATAAAATATGCAATAATATAGAAGTACAATGTACTAATTATGAAATCCAATCCCAGCCCATTCTCATTGCCTAAATAAATCAGCACTTTTTTTTTTAACTATATAAATCACAATGATTATGATTTTTCATATTTTATAATTTTGTCTATGACATTGGCATTTTCTTCGGCCTAATTGTTTAGTAAGTCAGATTTACATTTTGTACTACTAGTATGATTGGCTGATATACTTGGTATGTCTGAGGGTGATTCCCCCAACCACTGATACAAAAAAATTACTCTTTTATGTAAACGTAGGGTTTAATCACAGAAGAACGTGAAAATATTGACCCAGATGCCGTGCCTTTTGCTAGAAACGTGAGAGAGGCTGATCGTCAAGGACTAAAGGAAGGTGCTAGCCTTGTGGAAGTGGTTTGTAAAATGATCTTTCTCATTTTAGTATGGCTTATGAAATATCAAAATATGATTTAAATTTGAAGTTTTGTGAACAGCATGTGTGTTGAAGTAATTATGAAACTTAACTAATGATGAAGGTTCCGGTTGAAACAAACAAAAAAAGAAAAACGAAAAAAAAAAACAAGCCTGAATTTCTATTTTTAGATCTTGTGCATATTGAAAAGATAAGCTAGATGTACTATATTATTTGTGGTTTACCATTCATGAGCGAATATTCAACAATCTGCATCTTTAATCCATCAGATTCACATTTCACTTGGAAGACTAGGTTAGAAGCCTTGTAATTCATCAAAAGAAGATAGCATCTATGATGAGTGATTATGAAAAAAATGTACATGAAACAGAAGTAGTTGCCTTGTGTCATATCACGATTTCATTGGTGACCATATTTGAGGAGAGAGAGAGCGAGAGGAGAGAGATTAATGGGTTGCTTGACTTGCTATGGAAATAATCCTGTGTCTATTGCAATAAAATCAAATAAAAGGCTGTGTAATTCGCCAAGCAATAGTGAATACGTTATTTTGCATAACTGTCATGTACCAACACTCGTCT